GTTACATCAATAACTTTTTCAAACAAATTTTAGTATATGAAAGTAAGAGAGCATCTGTAGGAAAATAGTACTTATACACAAGGAGTAGCAAATTAGATCTTCCACGTAAGGCCAAAATTAAAAGATAGAATCATTTGAGTGTTATAAGTAGTTAACAACTTCTACTAACAAGTAACAAGATCGCATCATCTGTTCCAGGTCAAAAATTAAAAACATGGCCAGAAAAATACAGTAAGTTTTATACATAATAATGTCAGAAACTGCATACAAGAGCAAGTATAACAAGATAAGCACTTTTATGTTCAGTTTGAAATACAGCTAGATCGTAAAGAATACCAGAGGAGAACATACTTACCAAAAGTTGAGCAATAGTTAAGAAAAGTTCTTCAGTATATGGTGATAATTGATCTTTTAATGCTCCAGTGATTGATGACATTAAGAGCTTTGAACTCTGTAATGAGTTAAGAGAATTATTTAATGTTCCACTCTACATATCAATAGATGTAAGGGAAATATTAAACTACTAATTTAGAAAGATATACAGAATTCTACCAAAAAATTGAAAAAGGATATATCTAAAACAAATTGTTTAGCATTTATATATCAGAAAAGAAGAATCTGAAGACAGAACTTGAATTATTTCTTCATCTGGTAAATATTCACTTCCCCCTTCAGAAGTATCAGCTTCTTGTGCTCCCTCACTTTCAATAATAATACTTATTATATGATTTATCTCATCAGCAATCATCCTAATTATTTCAGTGGTAAGAACTGAAACATCAGAGTTCTGCAAAGAGACATTATTATGTTTAAGAGGAAAATATTTAGATCAAGGGCAAAAAAAATTACTGAGCAGTGTTTTGCATGAATAAACGAATCAAAGATCGATAAATAATCACATTACATTTTTATTCACAAGTCCAACAATGAAAATCATTACAGCGTGACGTTTCCTCAAATCCTTAGAATCTGTGTATGTTGTTTTAAGAAACTCCAATAAGAAAGGGAACACTGAATTTTCATCACCTTTCAAGGAGAGCCAATTCAACAAGGTCTTTCCAAATGTGGAACATTTTTTATCAGAGTCAAACATCATGTCCAGAGAAACCTTAAAAACCCTTTGTACATCCACATCAGAAATTTCATTTATTATTGTCTCCATAATGAAAAATCTATCTTCATTGAGACCGTGAAGAACTTCAACTGCTGCAATTCTTAGTTCATTGTTCGCGCCATTCTTCTCTGCGATGCGGATCATTGCCCGAAACACATTCCCCTCTTTCCCGTTCAAGACCTTATCAACATCGCTAGAAACATAATCTGCCAAATCCTCAAACCTACCCAGCACAATCTCTTCATTCCAGTGTTGATCTATGCAGTCCAATATTATCAACAAGATTGAACCCCCAATTTCATATTCCCCTAAAGGTTGTGCAATTTTCAGCATTGTATGCAATGAATCATAAGTCAATGCCCGTAAAATCCCATTACCAGTTTCATCAAGCATTCGCGCCGCGAGATTCTCAAATAGAGCACTGTAATGATTCTTCCAAAACTCTTTGTGTTCAGAGACACCTTCTGGTAATCCAGCTAACAACATGAGCCCTTTTCGTTGCATCAAAACAGAGTCCTCATAATTGGAATTTAAAGAAGAAAAACACGAAACTATGTATTCTAGAAGCTCTACCCAACCTCCAATTGAAAATTCATAGATTCGAGAAGCAAGATCGGTTATCGCCGCAGTTAACGGATAAAGTAACCGCTCCTCGAGCTCAATCTTGAAAGGATCAAGAAATAGATGCTTCAGGTCAAGGAACATATCACAACGGATTCTTCGAATGTTGTTTTTGTCCGTTACGAGGAGAGAATCTTCTAGAAGGAATGCGGTCTCCCTTCGAATGCGGAAGGGAGGGTTGAGGGAGAGGATCCTGGAGAGTTTGAGTGAGAAGGAGTTAGGGTAATCAGAAGAGAAGGATTCCAAGATTTTCTTGTTGGCGATGTTTCGGGTTTCAATGAAGTTTAGGAGTTGGACGACGTCGTTTGATTCGAGGAGAATTGTGGCGTATGGTTTTAGGTCGAAACCGTGGATGAGGGATTGGTTTCGATTGGCTTCAGAGTTACGTCTCTTTTCTGAAACTCGATGGTAGTAGGTTTTTTCTGGCGGAGGTGGTGAATCTGGGTCGTGGAATGGGTCCCGCGGTGGTGGTGGTGGTGAAGATGCCATTGTTGAGAAGAGAAAGGGAAGAAGGTTCGAAGGTGTATTTTGGAGGGAAAAGGTAACGGTCACATAAATTGATTTTAAAGGAAGCGTTATATTTTGTTCTGGATGAGATTGGCCACGTAAGCTATTCTTTTTCAAAAAACGGTTGGTGAATGTTAGTTAAAAACAAGAATGTAATATGTTTTTTCAAAATAAAATAGAAAAATACTTGTGTGAAGACATATTAGGCAAAACTTCTAATAACTATCTACATGGCATAATTTTTCATTGCCTATTTTGCTCTTCTAATTATCTATTATTACAACTATACTATATATAAAGGTAAAACCTCTAATAACTACCTACATGGTATAATTTGTTATTGTTTATTTGCCCTTCTAATTAACTATTATTACAATGTTTACCACACAATAAAAGAAATATCAAAATTATAGGTTTTAATATAGGTTAAATATATAAAAAATATCAAGTCACCAATGTAATTTTTAATATAAATTTTAATAATATCAAAATTCATTTTCATATTTTTTTTATTACATAAATTAAATATCATATACAACACTCAATACAAAAAAAATGATATATTTCTCTAAAATGAAATTTTTAATATTAGAAAATAAGAATGCGGGTCGGCATGCACGAAGTGCATGTCAACACGCTAGTGTATATAAAGACAATCAATAAAATTTTCACAATACATTAATAATTTAATTCTAATTAAAATTTAATTATAAATGATTGCACTAAAAAACATAAATATTATCTTTAAATATAACGTATTATATTTAAAGATAAAATAACAATGGCAAATGAAGTGGATTTTGCATGGATACTAGATTTTATAGCCAGGGGTTTGAAAGGTCGGTCAAATTAGGAAAATTTAATAGTTTAGATTTAAAAAGGTTACGAATCAAAGTTGTGTAATTAAACTATATTGTGTGGTAGCTAAGCTCACCTATGACAGTTACCACTTTCCTTATCCACAAACAAGTGAAGTAACTGTTCCGAAATCATATCACAGCACCATGGTGGACAAAACGGTGCGTTTCGGTATCTTAGGCTGCGCCAACATCGCTCGAAAAGTGGCTCGAGCTATATCTCTTGCCCCTAACGCCACCCTCTCCGCAATCGCGAGCCGGTCCGTCACCAAGGCCGAGAACTTCGCCGCTGAAAACAACTTACCGGAGAGTGTGAGAATTTACGGGAGCTATGATCAGGTGCTGGAGGATCCAGGTGTGGACGTTGTATACGTTCCCCTTCCCACAAGCCTGCACGTGCGGTGGGTAGTGATGGCTGCGGAGAAGAAGAAGCACGTGCTAGTGGAGAAGCCTGTGGCTGTTGATGCGGCTGAGCTTGATCGGATTTTGGAAGCTTGTGAATCTAACGGCGTGCAGTTCATGGATGGTAGCATGTGGTTGCATCACCCTAGAACTTCTCACATGGATAAATTGTTCTCTCTTAGTAATTCTCAGGGGATTGGACCAGTTCATTTTGTAAGTGAACTACTGAATCATATTGTGACCGGTGATTTAAATTTCGGGTAATATTGCGGTTGTGGTGACTCCTGCATCACACCGCAATTGTGGTGTGATTTTGAATCACAATGATGCGGCCGCAACGCAGTCGCATTTGGACCTTATCAGACCACATTAAGCCGTATTGGATTCAAAAATATTATTTTAATCACAAAATAATTTACACCGCAACCGCCGCAATCCACATTGCAACAACTGCAATGACCGCAATCGCAGTAACCGTTACCGCAATTTAAAACACTGATTGTGATATAAGAAATGTACTCTCTAAACACGGTTCCAGTGTTTTAAGTTGTGATTGTGGTGTGGTTGTGGTCATTGTAGTTGTTGAATGTGGATTGCAGTGGATGCGGTCCAAATGCGACCATATCATTATGATTAGGTGTCAAACTGCAATAGTAGTGTGATGCGGTTGCGGCGGACAGCAACCATAATATTGTAGTCACAATCATCTGCATGGTTATATTAGTCCAGATCTAGAAATTTAACATAGTCTCTAAGACTATCATGTTAGTGAAAACGGTCCTTCACATATTAGTCCAGAAATTGTACACTGTAGTGTGTTTGAAAAACTGTTGTATTAAGTGATTAATATGATTGATGCATATGATAATTTCAATGACTAATATGATAATTTCCTAGAGTTAGGGACTAAGGTATGGGTGCTTACAATTTAAGGAGTAAAACAAGGTTGTGCTCTGTTTATATTGTATATTGCACTATCATCTTGCAGACACTATCAATTAACTGAACTAACATGCATTCAATGTCTGTATAATTTACACTTGTTTTGAAGATCCACAGTTCATCAACAATGCCAGCAACACCTCAATTTCTAGACAGCAACATTAGAGTGAAGCCAGAATTGGATGCCCTTGGTGCACTTGGCGACTTAGGCTGGTACTGTATCGGTGCTGCCTTGTGGGTAAAGGGCTACCAACTACCAACCACGGTTACTGCGCTTCCCGACGTCACAAGAAATGCCGTGGGAATAATCTTGTCCATAACAGCATCTATGCAATGGGACCAACCACGCCGAACAATTGCAACAATTCATTGCTCATTTCTTTCCCACACATCCATGGACTTGGCCATATGTGGTTCCAATGGGTCTCTGCATCTCAAGGACTTCATAATTCCATACCAGGAGACTAGTGCTTCATATGATTTCACATTTGGTGCAAAGTTTGCTAACCTTCACATTGGATGGAATTTGAGACCAGAGGAAGTTCATGTGCCTAATAAACTCCCACAAGAAGCTTTAATGGTGCAAGAGCTTGCCAGGATTGTTGCAAGCATTAGAGATGGTGGGTCTCTCCCCTCAACCAAGTGGCCTGAAATTACTAGGAAGACTCAACTTGTAGTTGATGCAGTGAAAAAGTCCCTAGAGCTTGAATTCAAACCTGTTGCGCTGTAGATTAAAGTTAAAAGCATGTTGCCATTAATCACTGTCCTCTGTCACTATTGTAACCTTTCTAGTTCCTACCATGCCTTATAGATTAAAGTTATAATCCATCTATTTAACTCCTACATATTTGGAATTCTGGAATAGATAGTGAGATGCTAGTACAGAAGCTATCTTTGCCCACTGTTCCTCACAATCAGTATTACCAATAATATCAAGTTTTTGTGTAGTAGTCACTCTAGGATGAAGATTGTTGCAGGAGTACCCCAAAAAATGATTGTAATAAGTGATACTAGTAAGTTTCACCATATTCAAAATAGTTCGTGTAATTCAGAATGAATGACTATATATAAATCAAATTCCATCTAATTTTTAGTTCACTCCAAAAACCATTAGGTAAACCATAAACTTAATGTAAATATGAGTTGAACTCAGCTTACTTAAAGAACACTTCTTCAAAATAACTTTTTTAATACTCACTTTTTACCTGATAGGTTTTTATTTCTCCTTATTGCATAAGAAGTGATTTTTGAAAAGGTGGCTTTTTAAAGTAATTTTGGTATATAAAATGATATAGGTATATATATTTTTAATTATGTATACATTATGATAAAATTAAAGAATAAATGATATTTTCAACCAACAAATTGTCAATACTATGTCACATCTGAATAGAGATAAATACAAACATGATGAGTGAGTAACCATGAGACAGGTCGGGCCGGAATATATTTGGTCTCTACTCGGCCCTAAATATTGATTTATTCTAATCTTCGAACTCGAACTCTGACCCTAGACCCAATGAGATCCGACCCTATTTGGGTCTGATCATGATTAGATCATATCGTGTGAGTGAATAGGGTCACACCATTAATCATGATCATATCGTGTCACGTAGAGACACATCTGCACAACTGAACTGATATGTCTGTGTTTCATATCTTGAAATTAAAGCATACAAAATTTGGAAACAAATAAACATGGTGGTATATCTAGATCTTTTAATGATATAATGAATGCCTGAGATTTTAATACACATTATTATTAAATCTAGAACGCACATAAAATAAAATAAAATCTTGAATGAATATTCATGTTGATATAAACTTACTCTAGAAAAATCTAAATCTTCGTAAACAGCCAACGTTTCAAACATACTAGGTTGGACAGACACCAACCATTGCACTAAAACCCAATATTTTTTTGTTAATTTCTTTCCTAAACAAGTACGTGTTAAATGTTCGCATCATTCTTATAGACTTCACTACTTGCAATCTTAATAAAAACTTAAGAAAAAAGAATCTTTACCTCACTACTTCAATTTCTGAATCCTTCATCAACTTTTCATTCCGCAGGTTTCCCTTCTTCACCCTTTTCTGATATGCATGTATATAGTTTTATTTTATTGTAACAGTGTAGTTTCGTGAAGTTCATGTATACACTGCAACTTTGATTCATGACTGTTATGTGCATATAATAGAATGAAAAAGTAAAAAAAAAACATGGGTTTGTTTAATTTGTGTGTTATTCCTTTACTTGGAAGCTTCTTTTTCTGTTTTTTTAAGTGTTTCATCTCAAACTATGATGGTCCTTTTCTTCTTGATTTTCATTCTGTCACTTTCTCATTGTTGTTTCAAGAAGGGAATACAGATTCTGTATTATATTGGAGATTTTTGTCTCCAAGTTTCTAGATTTGGATTATCTACATTTGGAAACATTAATATTAGTGGTTTTATTATGCACCATATTTAGATATTATATCAAAAATATGACCTACAAATATATCAATCTGCAATAATTCATAACTTCCTGCTTGATATGTTAGAAAGATGTTTCAGGCAATAAAATATATTTATTTATATATTTTATTACCATTATTTTAAAAACTTAAGTCGGTTCTATATTTCCAAAGGATGATGAAGAGTCCCTTTCATGATGTGATGTTGTAAAATAATACAAATGGCTACATAGTTATTGGTTATTATAGTGTCAGTATAAATCTTTATACATTTTGTATACAAATATAATAATCGAAATTTAGTTGGCTTCTTGAATAAAATAACGTTTAATAAATAATATTTTCTAGCTTTTATGGGGCAAGTGGAAAACCATAATAAAATTTAATTTGTTACTCTCTTACGTTAAGTTACCCTTTCCGATACTCAACTTTAGATTTTGTTTGATCTTCCTTCCAATGAATTCTTTAGGTTTTAGACTTCAAACTAAAGAGCAAAGGGTCTAGGCATAACCTAAAACTATGAATATTTCTCTACAATTAAAATTATGCGAGTGGTGTTAGGTTTGAAATCATAGAATTCTATAACCAAACCATAAAAATAAAAATATAAAACAAAAGTAGAAAACATTTCACTTGTATTTTATTTTATATTGTAATAGAGTTACTCTCCCAAACATAGGAGTTTGGATAAAATTTGTCACATTAGTATTAGTATCGTACCTCAGAGTTTGGATAAGATTTGTTACAATAGTGTTAGTATCGTACCTAGTGTCAATGTTCGGATAGTTTACAATAGAGCATTACGATGTTGTCGGGGTCTAAGTCTTGGTTGTAATAATTTTACTCAACAGGCTCAGGGCATGCGTTTCAGCTTCAATCTGGTTGCAAAAATTGACTAATTTTTTTGGGTATGATACAGGTTTAATCATTATCATCACTAGTTGAAATCATAGAACTTTCAACACAAAATTCTGAAACATGGGTCATAGGATTCATCTTATTGTTTTTATTTTGCTCTGTTCCTCAATGAAATGCAAGTCATGGGGTTGGTTTTCATCATCTAAAGAGGCTCCTCCCTCTATGGAGAGATCATCATATTCAAATGAAGGTACTTCAAGAGGTTCCAATGCTGAATTCTCTATTGAAGGCTTCAATGACAAAAAAGGAATGATGTTATTAGATAATGCTAAAAACAAAATCATTGGCTCAAACACTTGTTGGCAAAATGCTTATAAACATCTTTTTGCTGGTTGTTCCGAGATTTTGGCTTCGAACGAGAAGCGCTCTCGATTCGCCTGGTATCTTAGTGATTGCTTTCAGAAGGACTCTGGCAGGCATGCTTTCCCTCAATGTGACCAAAAATCTTCAATGGCTAAATGCCTAAAGGCTTTAGATGACCTCTCTCATAAGGTCTACCTTGAATTCTACCTTGAAACTAACTCTATTTGTCACCAATTACAGTTAAGTGCAATTTTTTTGTTTCAAAAAACCTTATTTCAGTGCCATTTGTGACTTTGATCCATGAAGCATAACAAAAGTTGTGTACATGATTTTCTCTTATAGGTCTCATGCATTCAAACATGAAGTGGAGAGACTTGTGACTGAACTTAAAAGTTCATCACAATATGTGGAAGATAAGCTAGATAGCATCGGTGAGAAATCGGAAAATATATTGCAGGGCTCAAAACAGATTCATGATTCTGTGATTTCAATTGACAGTCACACACAGCAAGTTGCACTAACTGCTAAAAAAGTGGAAGATCATATAGGCGATGTGTTAAGACATTCAGAAAGTGTTTACGAACAAACAACGAAAATCGCAGTTTCGCAATCCCAACTACAAGAAGGACAAGAGGATATGAAGAGGAATTTACAAGATGGGGTAGCTTTGCTCAAAGAGTCTTACAATTATTTGGGTAAAGAAATAGATAAGTTAAGAGATGAAGCCATTGTGATTGAAAATGAAGTGCACAAAGTTGGAGATGCTATGTCATTACAAATGAGTACCCTACAAAGTAAAGCTGAAGATATTGGGAATATGACTGGGATTTCATTGGATAAGCAACAACAACTTCTAGATGGACAATCTACAGCACTCAAGGGACTGAACTCATTAACTGAATATCAATCCAAAGCACTAGAGGAGAGCAGGTACATAAGTTAGCTATTATAGACGTGATTTCGAGGATTATATTTCGAAAAAAATATCGAGTTCTTTATGTAATGCAGGAAAACTCTACAATATTTTGCTGAATATGGGCATAAACAACAACAAGAACTTCTTCAGCGACAAGAACAAATTCAGAGACTTCATGATCGTTTAATGGAAAATTCAAAATCGATATTGTCAGCTCAGGTTTGCAACACAACACCACTAGTCCAACTTATTTATTCCTCAAATCTATGTTAACATTTGATAATCAGAATATCTTTTTTTTATCTTTCTATAGGAGTCCTTTGAATCAAAGCAGGCTACCATGTTTGTTGCTTTGGACAAGCTTTTCGCTTTGCAAAATGCGATGTTGCTTGAATCGCGAATGATTAAAGCTTTCTTCATTTATGCCATATCAGTCTTTGTCATCTTTATGCTCACTAGTACAAGACAAACATATAATGTCAGGCCATGGCTATATATCGGTTGGTATAGTTGTATAACATTCCTTCTATATCTATGCATTAAGGTTTCCAAATTCTTAAGTATTATTGATTCTTCGCAGGGCTTTGTGCTACCTTCTCCATCGAAGTATCCATTATTCGCTTAACTAGTGATAACATTGAGCAACAAACCTGGATAATAAACATGGTCCGGTTATTTTTTATGGTAGCTGCTTCAGTTCAACTCTTATATGCCATTTGCACATTCAGGTAAGCATACAATACAAACATTAAACAAATTGTCCAATTGGATATTTATGATCTTATAATTAATATAATGGTTTGTTAATCATGCAGGAATTATGAAATGTTGAACCATCAAATGCTCTTAACTCTTATTAACAAGATTAACAGCATGGAAAAACCAAAGGAGCTCTCATGGGAGTTGAACTCTGATTACGTAGATTACGCTGAATGGGTAGACAAAGATTTACCTGATGATGTGAATTGCCTTGAAGATCCTGACTTTATACTTCCAGAAGAAGTTGGACAGAATTCAATCACGGCCTCAACAGCTACAAGATGTTATAATCTACGTCCGCGCTATCGTTCTCATTGATTGTTACTACTAGCCACTCCTTGTTTAGTGAGCTGAATTTAGAAGTCACACATGCACAAGGATTCATTCCATTAATTTATTTTATGATCTAGAACTAAACATGTATCTTATAATTAACTACATATGAAGAAGGTTAATATGTATGTGGAGATACATTTTTGTAGTTTGAGTTATGTAATCAAAGTTAGCAATTTTTTCCATCACCTTGACATATCAATGAAGAATTTTAATCAAACGATAGTAAACAACTCTTCCAATTGCAATATACTCATCAAATATGTGAAATACTATATTCATATTTTGTGTACTGATTTTTTGTCTTCCTAACATTTTATCACCCTTACCTTCAGCATTTGTAAAGTTGTTGATTAATCTGGTTTCAGTTTATATGCTGTTATTCTGTTGGAACTCTGGAAATGGAGTGCTATACTCTGCAACTGCAATATTGTGATTTTGAAAGTCTGTGCAACTGCATCGAGACAATATCTTCTCACAATTTTCTGCTAAATAGTGCTGGTAGTTAGTGACCAGAATGGAACAATCTTCAGATGTTTATCAAGATTTCTTACTACAGTTGTAGTTTTATCTGAAGAAGTGTAAACAACCATATTAGCCTATGCCATGACAAAGAGTCCTACATAATGTTTGGACCGAAAGGGCTAGTACCTCACTTCATCCCAGTTAGGTTATTTGTATAAAAATGAAATGGTTTAGTTGGTTTCTGGAATAACATTTCTAGTTCGGTTTGGCTCGGCTCATTTTCATGCCGAACTGAGGCTAGTCCTAATAAAAACAGATGATATAAAAACCACACTGGAAGCTTACGATTTACAGTAAATGAAAAGCATGTCCATATAACAAGCACAGAAGCTCCACAGTTGTCTTGCCAGAGATCTTATACAATAATAAACATACAGAGAAAAACACCAAATAAATTATTCATAAGAGAAAACTGAAAAAGAAAATTAGAGGAGATCTAGAAGCTTAGAAAATATAATAATCAATCTGGCATCATTTCCCTTGCATGCATGTCTTACTGTACAGAAAATGTCACTAAGCAGATAACTCAATAGCCAGATATGTTCCAATGCAAATAAGCCCTTCAAAGTCTCAACGTTAATTCAGGTGCCGATTTCTCTATTTCAACTGGTGGATGCACCTCTGTAAAACTCAAATTTGAACTTCCAGCAGTGAGTATGAAATTCTGATGAGAATCATCTCTTTCCGGTCGGAAACTACCCGGCCACATCAGTTCTGCCTCATCATCCTCCAAGAATATTGGAAGAGCGAGATATCCTTGCTCAACTTCTGCATTGCTTTTTATCTCAAGAGGTCTTATTGGCGGTGAAAATCCATGGTGCAGCGAAGAGTGTGCCTTTATCCCTAAGGACCTGAAAGAACCATGAAGAGGGAGAGATGCTAGACTAGCATACCTCTCGGAAATTAGCCCCATTCGCATTGCTCGCTTTGCTAATGT